GGATGGATGGATGGATGGATGGATGGATGGATGGATGGATGGATGGAGAAGCAATGATAATAGTTGGGGAAGACTGTTCTAGAAAGAACCCACCAAATACAGTCATCCTGAGATGAGAATGTTCTCGCAGGGATGAGGCGTGAAGAGACAGCAAGGCTGGGAGGGCATTGTGTGGAAAGTAGAGTGTTCTTTTTAAAAAAATTTTTTTTTCAACGTTTATTTATTTTTGGGACAGAGAGAGACAGAGCATGAATGGGGGAGGGGCAGAGAGAGAGGGAGACACAGAATCGGAAACAGGCTCCAGGCTCTGAGCCATCAGCCCAGAGCCTGACGCGGGGCCCGAACTCACGGACCGCGAGATCGTGACCTGGCTGAAGTCGGACGCTTAACCGACTGCGCCACCCAGGCGCCCCGAAAGTAGAGTGTTCTAATACCACCAGCTTGTTTCACTGCAGAAAAAATCTATTCGTTCCTCCATGTTGGGCCTTGCATGTTTGAAGCTTTAAGATTTCACTACACCAAATAAGAGAAATGCCAAAGAGAGGATTGAATATAAAATATGGTAGGTCGGCTCCTTCGTTAGTACAGACTTAGGGAAAGCCCAAGGGGTGGGGATGCAGACCACTGTACAAAGGTTTTCTCAGTCTCCATATTAGTCCAGGCAAACAGTCAGTATTGGAAGGCCTGGCTGGCGCCCAGGTAGGGTGAGAAAGGTCCCTGGAGTTGGGGTGACTGACTAAAGCACAATGAGAGAATCTGGGATTGTTGACTCATACATTCAGACAGGCAGAAGTTAGGGTCTGTGAGGCGTGGCAAAGGCCTCACGGCTCACCCATTCATGGGCAAGGGTTCAGCTTGGAACTTGGGGCTTGTAGAGAAGAGAGCCCGGCCTCTGCCCTGTTGTAGACTATTCCTCATGGCCGTGGGGCCGAGACGTGGAACTGGGCAGGCTTAATGAAAACCAGACCCGGTCTGGCCTCAGAAAAAATTATATTATGGATTTTGGGAAAAACTATTAAAGGAAGGAAATGAAGGCTGTCGGGGAAGTGTTTACTAGTAATGCTGTGGAGAAAGGAGTGCTTGGTCAATCCCCCGTTTCTAAATCACACTAAGTGATTCTGGCCTGTGAAGGGCCACACGCGGTTGCAAACCTAGACGAAAACAGAACTTGGAAAAAAAAACAGTTAAGTGGCAAGTCAGGTTTGTTTTGGGGAAGTGGGATAGTTCATTTGGGGAAAATAAACTCAGTTCCGTGAGGGGGATAATGGATTCGGGACTCATGGATGTGAAACAGAACGGAGACGGAGTGCGTGTAGGTGAATCCAGTCTGAGGACCCTCACGCTGCTGTAATCTATCCAAAGAGATCGTAAACTGCTAGACTTCAGTAAGCTGCCGGTGTCTTCAGAAAGATTTCAGTTGATGATACAAAACCTGGACTATTGTGGAGTTGCATTTGCAGCAAAAGGCACCTACAGTATAGCTGGAAAAGGCCCAAAGCGAATAAGTAAAACCGTCTGTTTTAGAGTTTATCTGTCGGCACTGTTGACACTTGGGAGCAAAAAATCCTTTGTTGTGGGGCTGCCCTGTGCATTGTAGGATGTTTAACAGCATACTGGATCTCTATCCAATGAAAGTTAGTAGCGCCCTCCCCCTCTAGGTGGTGGTAACTAAAAACGTGTCTAGACATTGTTACATGTCCATCTAGACAAGATCGCCCCCAATTGAGAACCACTGACGTAGAGGGTAGATTGACCTGAAAAAGATTAAGAAGGGAATATTACAGAAATCTTCGAAAGCGACACAGTAGGGCAGGTAAGGCACAAGCTCATTCAACAATTCCCTGGATATTTAAAATAAGGGACAGCTCTCTTGAACCTTGTTAAATTTTCTTGGTGAATTGAAGTCTTCCTTTTCATAATGAGTAAGAGTCTTGAAAACTTGCGAGTGATAAATGCTGAAAGTAGAAGTATGTTCAAAGGGTTTTTGAGGGACCGTTGGAAAATTATTAACTGCCTTACAAAAGGATAACCTACAACATATTCCTGGTTCAGGTGATAGCAAGTGAGTTCTGGCTTTACCTAGAGTAATATTTCTTGTGTTTCTTGCTTTTCATAACTTACAAAACTCTGAAAAGTCTGCCTCATTTTAGGTGGATAAAAATGAAGTGAGTTCTAGTCAAATGTTGATTACCCCTGAATTTCTGTATAATTACAGAATAATCACTTTTAAAGATTAAAAAAAAAGAAGTTTGTGTATCTCCAGCTATTACTTGTATTGGTCCTTGCATTTTTCTGTAACGTGTTTTTACCCCCTCTCCTCCTAGGAAACATTGGAAATTCTTTTACCATTGATCCCATCTTGGGCTTAATAAAAACTGCCAAAGAATTAGATCGAAATAGCCAAGTGGAATATGACTTAATGGTGAAAGCTACCGATAAAGGGAATCCACCAATGAGTGAAATAACTTCTGTGCATGTCTTTGTGACAATTGCTGACAATGCCTCTCCTAAGTTTACATCAAAAGAATATTCTGTTGAAATCAGCGAAACTGTCGGCATTGGGAGTTTTGTCGGAATGGTTACAGCGCAGAGTCAGTCGTCAGTGGTATATGAAATAAAAGATGGAAATGTAGCTGATGCTTTTGATATTAATCCACATTCTGGAAGTATCGTCACTCAGAAAGCCCTGGATTTTGAAACGTTGCCCGTTTACACATTGATAATACAAGGAACTAACATGGCTGGTTTGTCTACTAACACAAGTGTTTTAGTGCATCTACAGGATGAAAATGACAACTTGCCAGTCTTCATGCAGGCAGAATATACGGGACTCATTAGCGAATCAGCTTCAACTAACAGCGTGGTCCTAACAGACAAAAATGTCCCATTAGTGATTCGAGCAACTGATGCTGATAAAGAATCAAATGCTCTGCTTGTGTATCACATTGTTGAACCATCTATACACAAATATTTTGCTATTGACTCTAGCACTGGTGCTATTCATACGGTACTGAGTTTGGACTATGAAGAAACAAGCACTTTTCACTTCACCGTACAAGTGCATGACATGGGGACACCACGTTTATTTGCTGAGTATGCAGCTAATGTGACTATACGTGTAATAGACATTAACGATTGCCCTCCTGTGTTCTCCAAATCATTATATGAAGCATCTCTTTTATTGCCAACATACAGAGGAGTAAAAGTCATCACGGTAAATGCTACGGATGCTGATTCAAGTGCGTTCTCACAGTTGATGTACTCTATCACCGAGGGCAACATTGGGGAGAAGTTTTTTATGGACCACAAGACTGGTACTATAACTGTACAAAACACAACTCAGCTAAGAAGCCGCTATGAGTTAACCGTTAGAGCTTCTGATGGCAGATTTGTAAGCTTTACCTCTGTAAAAATTAATGTGAAAGAAAGCAAAGAAAGTCAACTGAAGTTTACCCAAGATTTCTACTCTGCAGTAGTGAAAGAGAATTCCACTGAAGCCAGAACATTAGCTGTCATTACTGCCATTGGGAACCCAATCAACGAGCCTTTGTTTTACCATATCCTCAACCCAGATCGCAGATTTAAAATAAGCCAGACTTCAGGAGTTCTGTCAACCACTGGCATACCATTTGATCGTGAACAGCAGGAGGCATTTGATGTGGTGGTAGAAGTGACCCAAGAACACAAGCCTTCAGCAGTGGCCCATGTCATTGTCAAGGTCAGCATAGAAGACCAAAATGACAATGCACCAGTGTTTGTCAACCTTCCTTACTATGCTGTTGTTAAAGTGGATACCGTGGTGGGCCACGTTATTCGCTACGTTACCGCCGTTGATAGAGACAGTGGCAGAAATGGAGAAGTGCATTACTACCTTAAAGAGCATCACGAGCATTTTCAGATCGGATCCTCAGGTGAAATTTCACTGAAAAAGCAGTTTGAACCTGACACCTTAAATAAAGAATATCTTGTCACAGTGGTTGCAAAAGACGGAGGAGACCCAGCGTTTTCGGCTGAAGTGATAGTTCCGATCACTGTTATGAATAAAGCCATGCCTGTGTTTGAAAAACCTTTCTACAGCGCAGAGGTTCCGGAGAATATCCAGATGCACAGTCCGGTTGTCCACGTACAAGCCAACAGTCCAGAAGGGTTGAAAGTGTTCTACAGCATCACGGATGGAGATCCTTTCACCCAGTTTACTGTTAACTTCAACACTGGAGTTATAAATGTCATAGCCCCTCTGGACTTCGAGTCCCACCCGGCTTATAAACTGAGCATACGAGCAACCGACTCCTTGACCGGTGCTCATGCTGAAGTATTTGTTGACATCATAGTGGAAGACATCAACGATAACCCTCCTGTGTTTGGTCAGCAGTCTTATGCCGCAACCCTGTCTGAGGCAGCTGTCATCGGCACGTCTGTCGTTCAAGTTAGAGCGACAGATTCTGATTCAGAACCAAATAGGGGAATTTCATACCATATGTTTGGGAACCATAGCAAGAGTCATGATCATTTTCACATAGACAGCAGCACCGGCCTCATTTCGCTAGTCCGAACTTTGGATTACGAGCAGTTCCAGCAACACAAGATTTTTGTAAGAGCTCTGGACGGTGGCATGCCCCCCCTGAGCAGTGATGTGGTTGTGACAGTGGATGTCACAGACCTCAATGACAATCCGCCACTGTTTGACCAACAGATTTATGAAGCCAAAATCAGCGAACACGCCATGCATGGGCATTTCGTGACCTGTGTGAAAGCATATGATGCAGACAGCTCAGACATAGACAGGTTGGACTATTCCATTCTCTCTGGCAATGATCATAAGAATTTTGTCATTGACGGTGAAACGGGGATCGTCACACTCTCAAACGTGCGCCGGCACACCTTGAAGCCATTTTATAGTCTTAACGTTTCTGTTTCTGATGGAGTTTTTAGGAGTTCAGCTCAGGTTCACGTAACTGTAATTGGAGGCAATCTGCACAGTCCTGTTTTTCTTCAGAGCGAATATGAAGTGGAGTTAGCTGAAAATGCTCCCTTACACACGCTGGTGATCGAGGTCAAAGCAACTGATGGGGATTCTGGTATTTACGGTCACATTACTTACCATATTGTAAATGACTTTGCCAAAGACAGATTTTACACAAATGACAGAGGACAGATATTTACTTTGGAGAAACTTGATCGAGAAACTCCAGCAGAGAAAGTAATCTCAGTTCGTTTAATGGCTAAGGATGCCGGTGGAAAAGTTGCTTTCTGCACCATTAATGTCATCCTTACAGATGACAATGATAATGCACCCCAGTTTCGAGCAACCAAGTATGAAGTGGACATTGGGTCCAGTGCTCCCAAAGGGACATCCGTCATTAAAGTTCTTGCAAGTGATGCCGATGAGGGATCCAATGCCGATGTCACCTATGCCATTGAAGCAGATTCTGAAAGTGTCAAGGAGAATTTGGAAATTAACAAACTATCTGGCATAATTACTACAAAAGAAAGCTTAATTGGCTTAGAAAATGAGTTCTTCACTTTCTTTGTGAGAGCTGTGGATAGTGGGTCTCCGTCAAGGGAATCTGTGGTTCCTGTGTATGTTAAAATACTTCCACCAGAAATACAACTTCCAAAATTTTCGGAACCGTTTTATACCTATACGGTTTCAGAAGACATGCCTATTGGAACAGAGATAGACCTCATCCGAGCAGAACATAGTGGGACCGTTCTTTACAGCCTAATCAAAGGGAACACTCCTGAAAGTAACAGGGATGAGTTCTTTGTGATTGACAGACAGAGCGGCAGACTGAAACTTGAAAAGAGTCTTGATCACGAAACGACTAAGTGGTACCAGTTTTCCATACTTGCCAGGTGCGCTCATGAGGACTACGAGGTGGTGGCATCTGTAGATGTTAGCATCCAAGTGAAAGATGCAAATGATAACAGCCCTGTGTTAGAGTCTAACCCGTATGAGGCTTTTATTGTTGAAAACCTGCCAGGGGGGAGTAGAGTCATCCAGGCCAGGGCATCTGATCTGGATTCGGGAACCAATGGCCAAGTCATGTACAGTCTAGATCAGTCACAAAGTGTGGAAGTCATCGAATCTTTTGCCATTAACATGGAGACAGGCTGGATTACGACCCTCAAGGAACTTGACCATGAAGAGAGAGACCATTACCAGATTAAAGTGGTTGCATCAGATCATGGTGAAAAGGTCCAGCTCTCCTCCACGGCCATCGTGGATGTTACTGTCACCGACGTCAACGACAGCCCCCCACGATTCACGGCAGAGATATACAAAGGGACCGTGAGCGAAGATGACCCACCAGGCGGTGTCATCGCCATCTTGAGTACCACAGATGCCGATTCTGAAGAAATTAATAGACAAGTTACATATTACATAACAGGTAAAACATTGAAGCAAAATGGTTTAAGTTAAACATAAATTGGATTAGAGGTATACATTTTGAAATATAGTATTTTAGGGAGATCGGGAGTTAAAGGGGTGATTTTAATTAAGTAAGCCTAAAATAAGTAGAAATAACATCTGTTAAGCTACATTGAAGAGGCTAACAGTTGTCATTAGACTATTTTTGTTTTGAATGTTTATTTTTGAGAGTGAGAGCGTGAAAGCGGGGGAGGGGCAGAAAGAGAGAGGATCTGAAGCAGGCTCCAGGCTCTGAGCTGTCAGCACAGAGCCCAACACGAGGCTTGAACTCCCGAACCGTGAGATCATGACCCGAGCCGAAGTTGGAGTCTTAGCCAACTGAGCTATCCAGGCACACCCCTGGACTGTTGTTGATTTTTATGACTCATTCTGTTGAACTTAGCAAATGATAAATATGTATTACAACTATATTTTCCATATAGGGTAACGTATTGTTTAGTAGGCTTTTATGTTTTCTTTAGCTTAATGCTGTGTTTCAGTACACATTTTAATGCCTTGATGTTTTGGTGGTGGTGGGAGTAACTGGGAAAGTTAATAAGCCAAATTTAAATGTAGTAATTTTTTTTAAAAACCCTTAATTCTTTTAAACCATAACACTAAATGTATTTATTTCTCCTGTCACTTAGATCTTTACTTACTTCAGCCAATTTGTCCTCTTCCTCCATTGATTTAATAGGAGGAGATCCTTTGGGACAGTTTGCTATTGAAAATATACAGAATGAATGGAAGGTGTTTGTGAAGAAACCTCTGGACAGGGAAAAAAGGGACAATTATCTTCTGACTATCACAGCAACCGATGGGACCTTCTCCTCAAAAGCCATAGTTGAAGTGAAAGTTCTTGATGCAAATGACAACAGTCCCGTCTGTGAAAAGGTAGGCGGTTCTTTCTTTATGTATTAGGAATTTGGATTTCTTTCTGAACCTTTCATTCGGACTCTCCTGTGGCGCTGGCTGTTATTCAGATGCGTTTTGTATGATAGCCGGTTAGCGTTTAAGCAGAGGTGAGTGTTGAGTGGGGCAAGAGTTGGATCAGCTCCAGAACTATTTTGGGAAATGCTCAGTAGTTGGAACAGCTCATTCACAGATGCTGTAAATTACAGACAAGATTGCAGTTATGTTTAACTCTAAAAATGCTTTGTGAAGATTTCATTCCCCTTATTTGGGGCTGAGCCTATTTTGGGGGCGCTGGCTGTTCTACACGAGGGCCCCGCAGCTCTGGGGCCCGTTGAATCTGAGAACACATACACCAAGAAGGAGCCATTCCCATCCAAGCCTGCGGTGGGAGGACCGGAGCAGGAGTGCTCCCGGGGAGGGGCGGGGGTGTCAGCCTTTGGGAGGTGGTGATTAGATCGGCAGAGGAGTTGGGACTCCGTCCTAGAGAAGAGAGGACCTCGGAACCCGTTGTGTTTGGAAGGTGGAGCTGCCGTGAGCCAAGAGTTCCTTACAGAAGACATGTTCGTTCGGTAGTGTTGTGTACACTTGGATGAGCGCGAGTGAGAGCACGGGGTGGAGGCGGCCAAAGGCACAAAGGGACAAAAGACGGTGCAGAGCGCAAGCTGGTGCCCGTGGTGCCGCCTGCGGGTGACAACATGGCAGGCGTGTGATGTCAGGATTGACTGCCATTTCCTACAGAAGCGAGTGGGAGAAAGACCCAGATAGAAGCCTGGGGTGGGGTTGGCTTAAGAGGAAGCATGTTGTGGTCTGTATTGGACTCATTAAGTCTAGGGTCACGGGACATCCAGTCGAATCGGTTTTGTAGACGTTTAGAGACGGTGAGATTGAAGATGGGCAGGGATGCAAACTTGGCCATTTCTTTGGATGACGGACAATGGAATCCATCCGAGAGGATGATCATGAAAAGGGACAAAGAGTACCTGTGGGTATTTCCTCTCCTAGGGAGAAGGGAGGAGGAAGCAGAGGCGGGAGGAGGAGACCCCTACCAGGGCAGTGTTACTGAGAGGGAAGGAGCCGAGGATTTTTAGGAGGCAGGACAGCAAATGGGGGTTTGGCTGCTGAACAGATGATGGAGCTGTGGAAGCGAACTGTGGGACTCTGAGAGTGGCTTGGAGACGGAGGGCTCGGCATCTTGATGTGGACAGGTGCCTGGTTGCAGGGAGGGCGCGTGTCAGTAGGCACATAGATTGGCCCACCGAAGAAAGAGGAGAGTCTGAGGAAGAAAGAAGAGTGGTAGATGAAGGGAAGGCTGGGGAAGAGAGCGGGGAAGACGGTCTGGAAGAGGGACAGAGGAGATGAGCAGTGTCACAGCTGTGGCAAGGGACAGAGCCGTTCTCAGGGAAATAGAGCACAGTCAGCAGGGAAGGGAGCTTCAGAGGAGGGAGGACTTCATTCCCATCCATGTCTCTACTTTTTGGCAACAGTATCGTGTACGGCTGGGGGGTTGGTTAAGTCTGTGTGTGTCGTACAGAAAATAAATGTGTGCGTCTTACTGTGTTTTTCTTTTAAACACTCGCACATTACTTGGATATGATGCGCTGTCATCTTTGAGAATAATAAAATTAAGATATTAGCTCATTTGAATTCATCAATGTTGCAAAGTATCCTGTTTCATGAGTCATAAAGTGTAGTTCATCTAGAATTGAGCTCATCTTAAGAAAAAAAAAATCAACAGAATCTTACCTGTTAGCCTTGTGTGTTGGTTGATAGCATGGATTTCTAATGAGTTGGAACTGGAAAGAAGTGTTGATTATGTTTGAGTTCAGTCAGATGGGAAGGGCGGGGGCAGAGTAACAGAAGAGTCCTGGCCATGGTGTCGCTTGCACTCACCCTGGTGACCTGGGGGAATCTTTGTTTTCTCCATGACATGAGGATCACATCTGTCTCCACTGCAGTCACCTGGCTGTGTGTTAGGAAAGATTGCAAATAATAACTTCCTGTATTGAAAATAGGATGTAACAGGCATTGACTCACCAATTTTCAGATATATATGGAATGCTACTATGTTCACTCATAAGAATTTAAGTTAAACATGAAACCAACTTAAAGACACAAAGTATTCAGAATTCTGTAGGTTAAATGTCAGATCAGACTCTTCCATTGATACAGAGAAATTACCTGTGACGTGACTCCTTTTTGTTTTAAATATGTTTTATAAGAAAAATCGGTTTCAAAAGCTCCTCAGATTTTTAAATTCTGTCATTTCCCACATTTTCTGTGACCAAAGTTAAATGATTATTTTTTCTGTTATTCCCTTGGCAGTCATGTTAACGCTTAATGTTTTATGTTCGTGGTATTCAAAATCTTTGTAGAGCTTATATTCGGAAACGATTCCAGAAGATGCCTTTCCCGGGAAGCTGATCATGCAGGTGTCTGCTACAGATGCAGATATCCGCTCCAATGCTGAAATTACTTACACATTATTTGGTCCAGGGGCAGAAAAGTTCAAACTAAATCCAGACACAGGTAAGATGAGGTTTGGGGCAAAATTCACCATGTTCCAGCAAAGTCATATCAGATATAGGTGGTCTTAGGTCACATGTAAAATTTGAAATTTTATCCCGTTCCTTGAAAATTTACTCTGATGCTGCAAAATTGGCATCTTTTAGAATTAGAAGTCTACACAGCAATTTAGTGTGTAAAATTTGGGATAAGATAAAAAAAAATTGACAACAATATCACCTACTTGAACCCAGAATTTAAAATTTAGTTTTTAATAGTAACTTTAAAAAACACTCCATAATTGGGCACCTGGGTGGCTCAGTCGGTTGAGCGTCCGACTCTAGCTCAGGTCATCCGACTCTAGCTCAGGTCATGATCTCACAGTTCGTGAGTTCAAGCCCCGTGCTGGGCTCTGTGCTGACAGCCCAGAGCCTGGAGCCTGCTTCGGATTCTGTGTCTCCCTCTCTCTCTGCCCCTCCCCTGCTCATGCTCTGTCTCTGTCTCAAAAATGAATAAACATTTAAAAAAAAAAACACACAACTCCATAATTTAAGTATATCTCAGACTTTGTGCTTTATCTGTTTTGTATATATTTTTCTTGAATATGTGGCCATAAATTAATAATTTAGCATATTCATTAAATGATGAATGGTATTCTGTTCATCTTTATATCTTTAAGACTGTTAGATTGTTTTCTCTCTTACAGTTTGTATTTTGTTAATATCAGGAGTCCAAGTAACAGTTTTCTGGGAGTTCCACCCCCCAGAACTGATTGTAAACATATGAATCTGTAAGTCAATTTAAAAATATTTTAAATTTGGTAAATAGGTAGCTTTTTTTTTTTTTTTTTTTTTTTAAAGCTAGCTCCCAGCAGGGTTTGGAAACCTGGATCTCAGTGTGCTCCTGCAGCCGTTGACTCTATAGCATTGATAAAATTGCTGCTCCAAAATTTTGTCATTGTAAGAGGGAAAGGGGAAGAAATAGATGTGCATTTGCAGCTCACACCTTAAATTTCAAGTGAATCCACTTTTTTGTTTGTTTTCAGGTGAACTGAAAACATTAGCCCCCCTTGATCGTGAGGAGCAAGCAGTTTATAACCTGCTCGTCAAGGCCACAGATGGGGGGGGTAGATTCTGTCAAGCCAGTATTGTGCTCACATTAGAAGATGTGAATGATAATGCCCCTGAATTCTCAGCCGATCCGTACGCCATCACCGTGTTTGAGAACACAGAGCCTGGGACGCTGTTGACTAGGGTCCAGGCCACGGACGCAGATGCAGGTACCGTCCAGCTGATGCTGTTGGCTTCAGTCTGAGATCTTAGGAACCTCACCCCCAATTCGGTCTCTCTGACTTACTGACCTTATGCATATTGATTAACTCACTGTTGTATTTTTTAATTCCTCAGCATTAAAAATGGAATGAAATCTTTAGGATAATGAATTCATTTTTTATTCACGTTTGAAGTCTCAAAATTGTGCCCCGTGCATGTACCATTGTAAGACATCTGTGGTGTCCCTAAAATTACGGTCAGAGACTGTATTACCTGATCTTCATATCCAATTGAATTAATCAGTGAAGTGTTATTTTATGAATAAACCATTAGTGACGTAGAGATTTTAATGTGGAGACAGAACAGCAAATGTTACACTGCTGTAGTTTTATAAACCTTTCACAATTTTTATGGAGAATATAATAGTCTAGGATACATATTTATAATCTTTCGATAGAGAAAACAATTTCTTAAGTCATACTAATACTGAAGAATTGAAGCAATAACAAAAGTACCACTTTTCAAATAAATCTTTGACACTGAGGCTAAATCATAGATTTCATTTTAAAAGACCTGCTGGGTACTGCAGGACCGTATGCTGTAGAATTTAGTCTTAAAAAGCCAGGTAACTATGGAATTGTATTTGTAGGTTAGTAAGTTGTCAGTGAAAATGTTTGCTTTTTAAAGATCAGAGTCCTAGGAACGTCTCAGTAACGAGCATTCACATTTTCCTTTTAAAACATGCTACACGTTTTTTCAAAAAATAATTTAAATTTCTTGAAATAAAACACTCTGACGTGATGTCATGTGTCAACAGGACTGAATCGGAAGATGTCCTACTCGCTGGTGAACTCTGCTGACGGGCAGTTCTCCATTAATGAATTCTCCGGAATCCTTCAGTTAGAAAAACCCTTGGACCGAGAAGTGCGGGCCGTGTACACCCTTACTCTGAAAGCCGTAGACCAGGGTTTGCCGAGGAGGCTGACGGCTACCGGCACTGTTGTGGTGTCCGTCTTGGATATAAATGACAACCCCCCTGTGTTTGAATACCGTGAGTACGGCGCCACCGTGTCTGAGGACGTTCTTCTCGGCACAGAAGTTCTCCAGGTGTATGCGGCCAGTCGGGATATCGAAGCGAATGCGGAAATCACCTACGCAATAATAAGTGGAAACGAACATGGAAAATTCAGCATAGACTCCAAAACAGGTAACCTGCCCTGAAAATGAGAAGAAGGCCTTTATTCTGCCAAAAAAGGCGGGATGGCCCAGCACGTTAGGCAGTACAGAGTGCCAGCTCGTAGATCGGCAGTAGATCCTTGAAAAAGATAAAGGTTCTAAGTGCCTTCGGCGTTTAAGCGGGGAAATGAAAGCACACTCCAGGAATTCAGTCGAGATGTCCGATGCATTACATGAGTAAAGATCAAGAGTGGGAGGTGGTGGAGGGTCTTGCGTAATGGCTACTCGTTCTCCATATTGAGTCCACGTGAAGTAGCTTCTTAAGGGAAACCATAGTTTCTGCCTCTTCGGTCCTAGTCTCTGTAGGAGGCATCTGATAATTCATTAAAATTGACGTCTTCATACGCTAGGTATATAGAATAGCCGAAGTACTTTGAATCGCAATGAATAACTATCCACAAGGTCAAGAGTTGCAGGAGGTATTGACTCCTGCTCCATACACGCTTTTGTCGTCTTGTTAACCTGTGGTCTAAGCTGTTCGAATGTTGTACAAAGTCACTCCTTTCAAACTATTTAATTGAGTGTGACTATTTCAGATGAGGAGCAGGTGTGTGTTGATGGGATTTGAAAATGTAGTTTTAATGCATACTGTAGAATTATTACTTTTAAGGCTTTTTAATAGGATGGACTGTAAGGAAACGAGAGGTGTTAAAGGAATCGTTAAATCAAAAAGATTTTATTTTATTTTATTTTTTATTTTTAAAAATTTCCATCCAAATTAGCATACAGTGCAACAGTGATTTCAGGAGTAGATTCCTTAGTGCCCCTTACCCATTTAGCCCATCCCCCTTCCCACACCCTCTCCACTAACCCTCAGTTTGTTCTCCATATTTATGAGTCTCTTCTGTTTTGTCCCCCTCCCTGTTTTTATATTGTTTTTGGTTCCCTTCCCTTATGTTCGTCTGTTTTGTCTCTTAAAGTCCTCATATGAGTGAAGTCATATGATTTTTGTCTTTCTCCAATTTCGTTTAGCATAATACCCTCCAGTTCCATCCACGTAGTTGCAAATGGCAAGATTTCATTCTTTTGATTGCCGAGTAATACTCCATTGTATATATATACCACATTTTCTTTATCCATTCATCCATTGATGGACATTTGGGCTCTTCCCATACTTTGGCTATTGTTTTTTGGTTTTGTTTTTTTTTTCTTTTTTTAATTTTTTTTTTCAACGTTCATTTATTTTTGGGACAGGGAGAGACAGAGCATGAACGGGGGAGGGGCAGAGAGAGAGGGAGACACAGAATCGGAAACAGGCTCCAGGCTCTGAGCCATCAGCCCAGAACCCGACGCGGGGCTCGAACTCACGGACCGCGAGATCGTGACCTGGCTGAAGTCGGACGCTTAATCGACTGCGCCACCCAGGCGCCCCCATACTTTGGCTATTGTTGATAGTGCTGCTATAAACACGGGGTGCATGTGTCCCTTCGAAACAGCACATCTCTATCCCTTGGATAAATGCCTAGTAGTGCAATTGCTGGGTCGTAGGGTAGTTCTATTTTTAGTTTCTTGAGGAACCTCCATAGTGTTTTCCAGAGTGGCTGCACCAGCTTGTATTCCCAAAAAAGAGATTTTTTTTTTTTTTAAGTGATAGGATGTAAATAGTTATTCTGGAGACATAAAACAAGCTATACACTTGTATAAAAGAAAAACAATGAGGAGGAAAATATAAGCCAAAAAGTAGAATTCTTACGTTCCCTTTTTATTGTACTGTAAACTATGGTTTAGAAGAAAGAAGAAATACAATTTTATAGTGGAATGTGGGTAGTATTGACTGGGGAAGCAATTTATGTATCACAGAGAAATAAATAAGGATCTAGGAATAGGCAAATTCATAACTTTTAATTGCTGAATGAAGAAATTAGAAAACGCATATAAATGATAGGGGCGCCTGGGTGGCTCAGTCAGTTAAACATCTGACTTCGGCTCAGGTCACAAACTCAGTTTTTGAGTTCAAACACCACGTTGGGCTCTATGCTGACAGCTCAGAGCCTGGCACCTGCTTCGGATTCTGTGTCTCTCTCTGCCCCTCCTCTGCTGGTGCTGTGTCTCTCTCAAGAATAAACAAACATTAAATATATATATATAAATGATAAATGTTTGAAGTAGAAATTAGAAATGGTTTGTTTAAAAGTTTCGATTTCAGTCACAGTAGGAGAAAGTGGTGGCATTTTAAAGTAATGAAAGTCATTTTGATTTTCTGTGCAGGGGCCATCTTTATCATTGAGAACCTGGATTATGAAAGCTCTCATGAATATTACCTGACTGTGGAGGCCACTGACGGGGGGACACCTTCATTAAGTGATGTGGCCACTGTGAGCATTAACGTAACTGATGTCAATGACAACTCCCCTGTGTTCAGCCAAGACACCTACACAGCTGTGATCAGCGAAGATGCCGTCCTTGAGCAGTCTGTCATCACGGTGTGTATTTCCTCCCCTACCGTGTTCTTCTGGATCTTTGCAAGAAATTTCAGGAAGACCGATTCAGTTTTTGTTGTGGCCTTACTCGAAAATAATTGGAAGATGGGGAAATGTCTTTTGTTACCCTAGTCAATTACTGATTCTATTATAAATGATTGCCTTATAACAGCTAGTTACTAATGGCAGAAAAGCTTGCTTCATAGACCCCTTCCTCACCTGTCTCCTAAGTAGGAGCGTGATGTCTTCTAGGTTATGGCTGACGATGCTGACGGACCTTCGAACAGCCACATCCGCTATTCAATTACAGATGGCAATCAAGGAAGTCCATTTACAATTGACCCTGCCCGGGGAGAAGTAAAAGTGACCAGGCTTCTCGACCGGGAAACAGTATGTGCAAAACTTTGGCTTAAATTGTTTACAGATTACCAAGTCGGTAAATAGAAGCTCCTTGTCCACTTAATGGGAGGCACCAGAAGGGTACAACCAACCTTGTTCTAAGGCAGTGAGAAGTAAGACACAAATACTGGAAAAGCAATCCCAGTACGAAAATCTCTAGAACAGAAGAGATGTGTTTCATGCTGATAGAAGTTTGCATAACAAAAGTTCATGTTCAGGAAGAAACTACTATCGGCTCTGGTGTTTGGAGGCACTTCATGGAGCTAGAAGCTGGGTTTTCAGTAATGGCAGACTCAGAAAGCCATAGTTGTGGAGAGGCGAGTCGCCGTGAGGAACCGCATGAACAGAGACGTGGAAGACGTGGCAAGTACTTAGGTGATCATACTAGATTGTGTTGGAGTAGAGGAGTCCTGGTGAGAAGTGAGGGACGCGTGCTGGGACGGGGTTCTAGGAACAGAGCAGAGGTTCACGCTGGCTGCTACAGGCACAGGGAGCCGCTGAGTATTGGTGAGCCCGAGAGCAACTGGCCGAGGTGACTGTGTGGGTGAGCACCATGGTAGGCCTGAGTGGGGTGTAACATCGTGAGCCACCAGGCAGGTAGGAAGCCCAGGGCCCGGGGCTCCGCGGTGAGACACCGAGAGGCTGATTGGGAAGTGCCGTGACGCGTGAGCAGACAGATGCAGAAGCTTCGTGAAGGAGGCCTTAGAATCTGTGAAGCTGAGACACGGCCCCGCGTAGGAAGCGGAGGTGGCCGAGATGCCGGCTCCCCTCCACCTTGCTGTAATGGGGTGGTGCCCTCCGAGAGAAACGGGGCATTGTGAGGCCGTGGAAGCCTAGAGCCGGGAGAGGTTGTGGCACGTGGTTTTTGACGTTGTTTTAGAGGAGAGTGACGTACGTAAGTAGAAATACTCAGCCAGGATTCAGAGTTTACTCAAACTTCAGAAACTTGAAAGCCAGGAACACGGAGATGGCACAGGCCTCCGGAGAGGATTGTGGAGGCAGTCCGAGGTGATTAGATAAATGCGAGCAACTGACGAGAGGAAAGCCAGGCACAAGTTCTGTCCCTCGTGTGTCTCTCCGTCCCTCTGCTAACACTCACAGGCAGGGAGCTGCCTAGGGAGGTCATGAAGTGAGGAAGTGCAAAGATAGGACACTGCTGATCAGAGAGTCTAGTTTCAGAACAGTAACAGGTAAAGGGAAGATTAGAGGGATTTGGGGAAATAGTGATGAGCTACCTCCTGAAAGGCCGAAATCTTTCATTCCTTCTCTGACCTGTTGCTTTTGAGCAGAGACTTCCCAAGAGTTTAGGAAGCATGACTGGTTAGCCTTCAGGCTGCTGTACTGCTGGGCCGAACAAATCTAGGACTTGTGACCGGTGCGCTTGTCCGCTCCTTTAATGCGCTAACGTCCGACAGGAGCCTGCAGAGGAGATGGCGTGTGCGCCCCAGGCCATTTGCCCTTCTCTGTTGGGCATCCTTTAGGACTAAGAGTCAGCAGAACATCCGCTGGGGATTTAGCCCCCTTTCTGGCTTCTTCCATCTCTCGTTCTGGGAGCAGAGAGCTTAACAGGGGACTGCCCTAGAACAGAATCTACCTCACTCGATACAGCTTCTTTTGACGAGGTCAATTTGTCCTGAGAGAGTCAGACAGCTGGCTGCGGTGCGGGCCACGTGTAAAAGCAATGGGGGAGGGTGATCTGGAGCGTCCTGAGGTGTTGAAGAGGGGCTACGACAGCTCCCCTCTGCTTCTGGCCGACGGTCCCATTTAGGCCTTAGAGGAGGCGGCTGCCCCTGTCGCGCACGCTCCGTCGTGTAGCTCTTCACGGCGCGCCTGTCTGTAGCTTGGGGAGTCGCCCACATCCAGGGCAGCACGCGGCAGGGGATGACGGTCGCCCAGATCTGCCCTTGTGGGTGGTCGGCAGTCTGCTTCTGATGGAGCCCCGTTCTCGGGCCTCGTGAAGTGGACATGTGTTCTGTCTCGTCCCGGGAAAGATTTCAGGTTACACACTCACAGTCCAGGCTTCTGATAACGGCAGTCCGCCCAGGGTCAACACGACTACCGTGAATATCGACGTGTCAGACGTCAACGACAACGCTCCGGTCTTCTCCAAGGGAAACTACAGTGTCATTATCCAGGTAACCTTGGGGCGCTGACAGTGTGTCGGGCACATTCCTTTTGAAAGGAGCTCATGCGTTGGCTTCGTTGTTTGAAATCTCTCTCTTTTCCAAAGAGTACTTTTAGGAAAATGTGATGAGTAAAATGAGGGGGGGTCTCCATCAGTACTGAGATGAGCATTTTCAAGGTGCAACCAAGCTTTTCTCTCTTTTTTTTGTACTTTGGTTTTTAAGACATTCTCACTAGCTTGGTCCTTAATCTTGTTTTCTGCTGGCTTTTTTTTTTTTTTTTTTTTGATTTATTTTGAGAGCGAGCGAGCGCTCGCGCACACAAGTTGGGGAGGGGCAGACAGGGAGAGAGAGAATTCCAAGGAGGTTCCGTGCTGGCTGTGCAGAGCCTGACAAGGGGCTTGAACTCAGTAACTGTGAGATCACGACCTGAGCTGATATCAGACACTTAACCGACTGAGCCACCCAGGCGCCCCCGTCTGCCTGCCGGTTTCTGAGAGGCATCAGAGAATCGACTCCACCTCTTCTCCTTTCCTCCTCCCCCACTCCACCCTTCTTCCACTCCTGCTACCCACACATCCTTTCTTCTCACACATTCCCTCCCCTCCAGTCCTGTCCAAATCCCCACCTTCCCCCCTCCTCCCCTCTTTCCTTCCCATCAATGCCCACCGCAGACCACCACCCCCCCCCCCACCTTCCTGTCAAAGGAGCCGCAGTGAGACGTTGTTTTCCGTATACTTCATTTTATAGAAAACTTGCCTGTGTCTCTTGCCATGTAGATTGGGTTTTATTGCAAGTCGTGTGCGTTTTGGTTCTCTTCCGTGCAGGAAAATAAGCCCGTGGGTTTCAGCGTACTGCAGCTGGTAGTGACCGACAGGGACTCCTCGCATAACGGCCCACCCTTCTTCTTTACCGTTGTGAGTGGGAATGACGATGGAGTGTTTGAAGTGAACCAGCAAGGGGTCCTTCTCACATCAGCTGCCATAAGGAGGAAGGTGAAAGATCATTACCTACTGCATGTGAAGGTATGAAGGTCTTCAGGATTTTATGTTGTGGATTTCTAGAGAAGGGTTCCTTTGCTGCCTCTAGAAATAAAATGAGTACAATTGTGGGTTTTTGTTCTGTGGTGTTTTTTTTTTTTTCCTTCTTTTCGCCATTCCTTTTTTCTTTTAAATGTATATGTATTTTTGAGAGAGAGAGAGAGAGGGCACGAGCCATCAAAGGGGGGAGGGGCAGAGAGGGAGGGAGACAGGATCTGAAGCAGGCTCCAGGCTCTGAACTGTCAGCCCAGAGGCCGAGGTAGGGCTTGAACTCACAAACTGTGAGATCGTGAGCTGAGCCGAAGGGAGACACTCAACTGCCTGAGCCACCCAGGTGCCCTCTTACCTTTGTTTTTATCCCACTGTACTTTGCGGGGCCCATGTATCCACTTGGTTACTTTATCATAGACATTAATGGAGCTCACCTCCCTTACGAATTCATGAAAGGGCTGTAAAGAAGTATTTATTCTTGTCCTTCATAGGCTTCTTGTTTAGAAGTATTTCATGGTAACTTTTTAAAACTTGAGTGAGGGAAGCCAAATTTTTATTAAGAAGTTAACGATGACCTATAGACCAAGGTGGTGTTGTGTTTTTGGTTTTAATTTCCTCATAGGTGGCCGATAACGGAAAGCCTCAGTTGTCATCTTTGACGTATATTGACATTCGGGTCATTGAGGAGAGTGTCTATCCGCCTGCAATCTTGCCACTAGAGATTTTCATTACTGCTTTTGGAGAGGAATACTCAGGCGGTGTCATTGGGAAGATTCACGCAACAGACCAGGACGTGTATGACACTTTAAGCTATAGTCTTGATCCGCAGATGGGCAACCTCTTCTCTGTTTCCAGCACCGGGGGTAAGCTGATAGCACACAGAAAGCTAGATGTAGGGCAGTACCTTCTCAATGTCAGTGTAACCGATGGGAAATTCACGACGGTGGCGGACATCACGGTGCACATCAGACAGATAACCCAGGAGATGCTGAACCACACTGTCGCCGTCCGCTTCGCCAACCTCACTCCGGAAGAATTCGTTGGTGACTACTGGCGCAACTTCCAGCGAGCTTTGCGGAACATCCTGGGTGTGAGGAGGAGTGATGTCCAGATCGTTAGTTTGCAGCCCTCTGAACCCCATCCACATCTGGATGTCTTGCTTTTCGTAGAGAAATCAGGGAGTGCCCAGGTTTCAACCAAACTGCTTCTGCACAAGATCAATTCTTCTGTGACTGACCTTGAGGAAATCATGGGTGTTAGGATACTGGACGTGTTCCAGAAGCTCTGTGCAGGGCTGGACTGCCCGTGGAAGTTCTGTGATGAAAAGGTGACCGTGGATGAGAACGTTATGTCAACGCACAGCACGGCCAGACTGAGTTTCGTGACTCCCCGCCACCACAGGACAGCTGTGTGTCTCTGCCAAGGTAATGCACATCAGTCGGGAAACAGGCGGTACGGATCATTTCGAGTGCAGCCTTTGAAGGCTACACACGAATCGTTTTCTTGAATTTCGTGAAGTTCCTGTTAATGGGCTTTCCCCCCTCTCCTGTCTCTTCTTTCGGTGGTGTTTTTTACAGAGGGAAGATGCCCAGTTGTCCGTCATGGATGTGAAGACAGTCCATGCCCTGAGGGATCTGAATGTATCGCTGATCCCAGAGAGGAGAAATACGCCTGTGTCTGCCCGGGTGGCAAGTTTGGTCAGTGCCCAGGTGAGAGTTCAGTGATGAGGGGTGCTTCCGTTTGAAAAAGTCACTTCCAGTGTTCCTTGCCATTGTTTTTTTGTTGTTTTTTTTTTTGTTGTTAGCTTTGGTAAATATTGTCAAGTGCGTTTATAATAACAAGCCAAGGGTATGGATGAGTAAGGAGGAGCAGTAGTAACTTCTTCCACACAACTCACCCGAATTAACGGCGATGCTCGCTCTTCTTCATCATCGTGCTCATGTAAACATACAGTCCCATATGTGCACATTCATTGTGCTTTTTTTTTTTCACATTCCCTTTAAGAATAAATAGTTACCATATCTCATAAAGTCTACTGCTTGCTTTTCCCCCTGTTTAATGTACGTTATGGGCATCTTTCCAGGCCATTGCACGTAAACCTAATGCTTCTGAATGGCTCTACCATGATTTATTCAACATTTTCCTTATTCATAGAGCTTGAGGTTCTTAAGATGTTTCCTCGTGTTAAAAATGAATCCTTTTCTGCACTTAATCGTGGTGAGGCTTTGACTAATGTATACAAGTGTTGAATCATTCTGTGGCAGTTCTGAAACTAATGTAACATCGTATGTTAATTATACTTCAGTTTTTACGAAAGCACTTGTATCCATACAGCCATATTTATTGGTGCTTTCTTTTCTAAAACAAGGATTTACGATGTCAAAGACTAACTACGTTTTTAATTTTTAAATAGACCATTATGTTAGTTTCCCAGAAAGTTATACCAATTCCTTTCTTGCAGTCATGTGTGACCGTCTCACTCCCCTTTTTCTTGGCAATGCAAGGTTTTCAATTAAAAAACAAATTCCTTCATCCTGTGGGCAAGAAATGATATCTAGTTAGTTTAGTGTGGATTTCTCCAGCCTTTTTGTGAATGTTTTGTTTTCTTTTTATTCCTGGTAGCATTTCCTCCCCGGGACTGTTCAAAGTCTTTGCTAGTTTGTCCAGCTTATCTGTCTGGTTTTTGTTTCAGTGTATAGATCACTCTGTGTGCTGTGAGCATGAACATTATCTCCAACCCACTGTCTGTCTATTACTGTCTATTGTTTACAGTATCTTTTGTCACTTTGAAATACAACTTTTGTCTGTTCTGTATAATTTTTACATAACCATTTCCATCGCTGGAGAGTGATGTTACTTTCATTATTTCTGGAGACTGGGAATTAGATCTTGCTTGCAAAGCTTCCCCAAACCGTGTGAGGCTGTGTAAATATTTTCCTAAGTTGTCTTGTAATAATTTTATATTGAACGTTTTTATATTTATTTTTTTAAATACGTATTTTTTGAAGTTTATTTTGACAGAGTCCACGCCGTGTGCGTGCATGCGTCGGGGAGGGGCAGAGAGAGAGGGAGAGAGAATCCCAAGCAGGCTCCACACTGTCTGTGTAGAGCCCAACGTGAGGCTTGAACTCATGAACCGTGAGATCATGACCTGAGCTGAAATCAAGAGTTGGACACTTAACCAAGCCACCCGTGAACATTTTTATATTTAGATCTCTCATTATTTTAGAACTCATTCCTCACTGATACAGTAGTCTAATTCTCTTCCAAAAAGTGACCCAGGGGTGCTGTGCTTTTTATTAAAGCAAATTGACATTTTCCATCAGATTGAACTTTATAATGTGGTAACCTTAAATAAAAACTTGGATCAGTGTTGGGGGGAAATCTCCCTTTTAAAGATATGCGTCAGCTTGGTTCTGATTTATGTTTTCCTCTTTGTGATTCACAGGGAGTTCATCTGTAACATTTACTGGAAACAGCTTTGTGAAATACCGTCTAATGGAAAACGAAAACAGATTGGAGATGAAACTGACCATGAGGCTCAGAACGTACTCTGCTCACGCAGTTGTGATGTACGCTCGCGGGACCGACTACAGCATCTTGGAGGTACGTTTTTGAACCTCACGTTATGGAAGACTTAAAAATACAAAATTCCCATTTTGTTTCTATGGTCCATTTTTGAAAAAACAATTAAAGGAAATGGTTTTATTCCACACTTAAATGGTCTCTTGATACTTCTAAGTTTTAGACTTTGTGGGCCAAAAAGCTCCTTTATTTGCTCTGCGGTAACATAGAGATTGACTTCTTTTCTTCGCAACCTTTTCAGGTCACATGACCATTAATGTTCAAACTCTGATATTACGTCTTCTGTCATATAGAGAATTTGTAGAGAACATATGTAAATGCTTGAAGTGGTAATTATCCTCCACCCCCCTCCCCCTTTTTTTTTTTTTATCTTACCTGATACTATTTTTGTTGTTCAATTAGTTAATTGTTATTTCTGTGATGCTTTTTGGATGTGCGGTTTGAACTTGATATCCCCGTAACGTCCATTTTTACTCTTTCTGCCGTGAGCAGATGAGCCTGTGTTCTGTAGTACTTAAGTGCAAGGCCTCACTGACTTTCTACCTTCAAGTGCTCACCGTGCCTCTCCTTTAGATGTTTGATCAGAGTTCATAATTGCAGATTCTGTGGGAGTAATGTGAACGGCCATTGTTTTCATGACAGATTCATAATGGACGGCTACAGTACAAATTTGACTGTGGGAGCGGCCCTGGAATTGTCTCTGTTCAAAGCATCCAAGTCAACGATGGGCTGTGGCATGCGGTGTCTCTAGAAGTGAATGGAAACTACGCTCGGCTGGTTCTCGACCAAGTTCACACTGCATCAGGCACAGCCCCTGGGACTCTGAAAACCCTGAACCTGGATAACCATGTGTTTTTCGGTGGCCACATCCGCCATCAAGGCACAAGGCACGGAAGAAGCCCCCAAGTGGGTAATGGCTTCAGGGGTTGTATGGACTCCATTTATTTGAATGGGCAGGAGCTCCCTTTAAACAACAAACCAAGAAGCCATGCACACATTGAAGAATGGGTGGACGTCTCTCCCGGGTGCTCGTTAACGGCCACCGAAGACTGTTCCAGCAACCCTTGCCAGAATGGAGGCGTTTGCCAGCCATCCCCTGCTGGAGGTAGGCTTCGTGACGTGGTCCTTTTTAAAAGGTTACACACGAATACACGCAGTTCCTCAAGTACTTGTGTTTCCCCCTTTTCATTCAAATGATGGGTCAGATACTGCAGTCAGTATTGGAATCGAGTGGTTGGTGCATGTTACACCAGACCGGGCGTGGGCTAGGATTCTTCCCTGCGGTGAGGCCGCAGTGGGTGGTGTCTTACCTGCCGAGGTCCCGCAGACACGTGGCAGGTGCACCCAGAGGAAGCGTGTCCAGACACCCCTCGTTCTGCACCAGGAGCCACTGGTGGACTACGGCTAACTCTGCACTTTTTCTCCACCCACACTGACAGTGACCCAGCGGGACTCAGAATTGTACACTTTGTTCTTTCGAGTGCCCTTCTTTGATCTGATGGCTCAGCACCCAGCGACTGCTAGTCGAGCTAGTTATAGATGGGGTGTGGTTTTCCAGAAGGCCTCGAACCCTCCCGAAGCGTCACCAGTGCGCCGAGACTTTTTTCACCTGGCCCCGTTTGTTTCCTTTCCCAGTGATAGAAATTATGACAGTCCTGGTGCCTGGGAAATAGAGCTTTGTGTAAGGGATAGAGCAAATATCGAAATAACACTTGGGTGAGATTTCAGAAGCTTCGGTTCTTTTTGTTACTTTCTTTGGAAAGCATCTGTGCACACTATATGCAAACAACGGGCCAGGTCAGCCCCACAGTAATACTCTGAATGAAAGTGTAGACTGTGCTCGTGTTACATGGCCACGTGAGGTCAGCCAGGAGACTCTCCTTGTTGCGTCACTCAGGCATGAGGCTGAGAGAAGCATGTTCTTGAAACGTGCTCCTGCAGTCCCTGTGGCAGCTAGACACCGGCTCTGTCGCATGTCACAGTCTTTATGTTCCTTTGGACAGATTTGATAATCCCCTTTCGTTAATGATAGCATATAGTCTCACAGTGCCTTCACGTTTACTGTTCTCTCGTTTAGCCCTTAAAAGCTTGTGAGTTGTGAATTGAGGTCGATGTCCAGTAGTAAGTGTTGTCTACGTGGTCCCTCAAATAAAGGACTGTTGGTCCCTACTCTGTACGCTTGGCCCAACAACCTTACCTAAACTATGATTCGCTAAAGCCAACGACGAGTTCTCTCTTCCGTTCTTTGTGTTAGGGTTCTCCCAAAAGCAGAAGGGATAGCTTGTTGATCTAGACCACATTTTACCCAGAGGGAATAGGAATTTTACTAACTTTGATGGGTCTCCGAGTCTCCTCTTAGTAAAAACCAATGTACTGAGATACAGTTTTTGAGTTACTGATTGGACTTCTTTGTTCCCTTTTGCTCATTTAGGTTATTACTGTAAATGCAGTGCCTTGTACATAGGGACGTATTGTGAGCTGAGCGTCAACCCGTGTTCCTCCAACCCATGCCTCTATGGTGGCACGTGCATTGTGGACAACGGAGACTTCCTTTGCCAATGCCGAGGATTGTACACTGGCCAGAGGTATGTGTGTTTTTCTTAACTTTCATAATTACAGTATTAAAAAGTTTTGTAAATGGATGCTTGGTATATAGATGGATACTTGATACATACGTCTGACTAAATTTACGTGTTGTTTTCTCTTGCACTGTATTTATCTACAGTAGAAAGTGTTAGGTTTATGCGTATTTCCCCTTCCTTCTTCAGGTGCCAGCTTAGTCCATATTGCAAAGATGAGCCCTGTAAAAATGGTGGAACATGTTTCGACAGCTTGGATGGTGCCGTCTGTCAGTGTGATTCGGGTTTTAGGGGAGAAAGGTAAGTGGCTTCTTCCAGAATTTGTATCTGCTCTTCTCTGTAGTGTCAAATCAAATAGCAGATGCAACAGAAGTTGATTAATCTGGACTCTGTTGCTTCACATTGTCATAATCCTCATATAGCTTCTTGTAGAATTTATCTCGTCACTCTTTAAAAACAGTGAGCGGGGCGCCTGGGTGGCGCAGTCGGTTGAGCGTCCGACTTCAGCCAGGTCACCATCTCGCGGTCCGTGAGTTCGAGCCCCGCGTCGGGCTCTGGGCTGATGGCTCAGAGCCTGGAGCCTGTTTCCAATTCTGTGTCTCCCTCTCTCTCTGCCCCTCCCCCATTCACGCTCTGTCTCTCTCTGTCCCAAAAATAAATAAACGTTGAAAAAATAAAATAAATTAAAAAAAATAAAATAAAAACAGTGAGCAGGTGATAACGTAATGCTTGATGATACTTGTGGACGTCAGAGATATTTATAAGCAGAACATACGGGTTCTTGGAGGCAGTACATGTTTGCGGGAGGAGTGACGATTTTTTTAAGGTGGATACACGTGACGTTGTTACCGGTCTTGAGTGGGATGACAATGACCTCTTCTCATAATCTGTTATAGCTAACATTTAGATAGCATCTAGACCCCCTTTCAACTCTCATTATCTTTTGTAATCCTTACCATAATGCTAAGAGGTGATGATTATTTCCGAGAGGAGCAACATGAGGCACAGAGCTGCCTGTTAGACACCGCGAAAGAGGCAGGTTGGTGATGGGGCGCCAGGGTGGCTCAGTCGGTTGAGTATCCGACTTCGGCTCAGGTCATGATCTCATGGTTTGTGAGTTCGAGCCTCGCATCGGGGTCTGTGCTGCCAGCTCAGAGCCTGCTTCAGGTTCTGTGTCTCCCTGTCTCTCTGCCCTTTCCCTGCTCCAGCTCTGTGTCTCCCTCAAAAATAAACATTAAAAAAAATTTTTTCAAAAGTTACTTGGTGAGGGGCAACTGGGTGGCTCAGTCAGTGCTGAGCATCCGACTCTCCAGGGTCATGGGATGGAACCTCATGCTGACAGCGCTCGGCGCACTTAGGATTTTCTATCTGTCCCTCCCTGACTCGCATGTGCACGCTCTCTCAAAACAAAACAGTTCATGTTATTTCTAAGTGCCTGATGCTTCACTGAAGTGTTCACTGTCAATCTTGTTGGAAGGCTTTTAAGTGTGAGCTGCTTGTAGGTATTTGCATATGCTTTTACTCAAGTGGTGGTTAGAGCCCTGAATTTGGCCATCAGTCACATGGTCTTAGTTCCTAAGTTGTTGATTTTAGTAATTCCAGTGAATCAATCCGTGACATATTTGAGAAAAATGTCTCAAACTTCCAATGGCAGGTGAGTGTGGGGCCAGGGCAGTAGCTACCTTTTATTAAAGGAGGGAAGGATTGATAAGTGTCAGGTGCATCCTCCCAGGGCCCCCATTTGGAAAGGCAGAGGGGACACAGTGGCATGCGAAGTGTTAGGTCAGGTGATGGGCTTTGGGAGGTTTTCCACAAGAGAAACATTTTTACTTTGTTTATTTTGATAGAGACAGAGCACACGTGGAGCAGAGAGAGGGAGAGAATCCCAAGCAGGCTGTGTGCTGTGAGTGCAGAGCCTGATGCAGGGCTCTAGCTCATGAACCATGAGATGGTGAACCAAAACCAAGAGCCCCTGATGCTTAATCACCTGAGCCACCCAGGTGCCCCAACTGTTTGCTAACCTTTCACATGTCTTAGGAAACTCTTATCTTTCCAAGCAGGAACATCTCCTTCGAAATTGAGGCTCACATATTAGAACAGTTTCTGGCATACCATTTATCAAAATGCACTTTCTTTTTTTTTTTTTTTTTAATTTTTTTTTCAACGTTTTTATTTATTTTTGGGACAGAGAGAGACAGAGCATGAACGGGGGAGGGGCAGAGAGAGAGGGAGACACAGAATCGGAAACAGGCTCCAGGCTCTGAGCCATCAGCCCAGAGCCCGACGCGGGGCTCGAACTCCCGGACTGCGAGATCGTGACCTGGCTGAAGTCGGACGCTCAACCGACTGCGCCACCCAGGCGCCCCCAAAATGCACTTTCTTAAAGAATCTGCAACAAACTGGTGCACTCAGCTCAGTCTGTGGGTTTGCTTTAGTCAGCCGTGGAATCCTAGAAGAGTAGCGTTTAAATACGGCTTGACATAATGTTTCTCTCCCACGGGTACCGCATATAGGATCACATGATCCGTTACCCCGAAGGGTTTTTGTTGGGATCCCTGTTGTCAGCTGTGTGTTTTGGGGAGTTACAGATTTTGCTCTGTTGGGGTGCCGTCCTTCCGTGCGAGTGGCAGGCCAGGCGTATTCTGACTTCCGTTGCTCGTGTCTGTCCTCCCTGCAGGTGCCAGAGTGACATTGACGAATGCGCTGCCAGCCCCTGCCGCAACGGGGCCCTCTGCGAGAACACACACGGCTCCTACCACTGTAACTGCAGCCACGACTATAGGGGGAAGCACTGTGAGGACGCTGCCCCCAATCAGTACGTGTCCACGCCGTGGAACATCGGACTGGCCGAAGGAATAGGAATTCTCGTCTTTGTGACCGGGATATTCTTACTGGCGGTGGTGTTCGTCCTCTGCCGCAAGATGATCAGTCGGAAGAAGCAGCACCAGGCCGACCCTGAAGACAAGCACTTGGGACCAGCCACAGCTTTCTTGCAGAGACCGTACTTCGATTCAAAGCTAAATAAGAACATTTACTCCGACATCCCCCCCCAGGTGCCCGTCCGTCCTATATCCTACACTCCAAGCATTCCAAGTGACTCCAGGAACAACCTTGACCGCAATTCCTTTGAGGGATCTGCTATCCCGGAGCATCCTGAATTCAGCACCTTTAACCCCGAGTCTGTGCACGGACACCGGAAGGCAGTGGCCGTCTGCAGTGTGGCCCCGAACTTGCCTCCCCCACCACCTTCCAACTCCCCTTCTGACAGCGACTCCATACAAAAGCCCAGCTGGGACTTCGACTATGATAGTAAGAGCGGTTTTTTCCATCTGAGTAAAATGTCACTAAGCTCAACAGTGATCTTGTAAATGCTGCCAGAGATTCTGGTGGCTCCATTCACAACGTGGGGAGCCTCTGGCAGTGACAGATCGACTCAGCCTCTGAAGACCTGTAGTAGGATTTGAAAAACCTTCCGGGGCTGAGCGCTGTGGCTGTGATGTTACGTTAATCAAGGAATTGAGTCTAGTCCTGTTCGTATTAATATTCAGAAGAGAGCATTCCATTATTGTAATGGATATAGGTTCTCAAGTATGATTCTGAGGGCTTTTTATGACAAATTAGGAAGGGCATTTGCATGGTAGGATTTTGTTAAATATGGTCAAAAGTGGTGGCCCGACTTGTCTTTTGATGCTTTAAAAATGCTATATACCTCTTTAAAGGGTTTTTGTGCGTGTGTGTTTTGAGAGGGCGCAAATCAGCAAGGGGCCGAGAGGACAGCGGGGCTTGTGCTCACCTGCTGTGGGGCTGGGACTCACGAACGGTGAGATCGCGATCTGAACGGAGGTCAGATGCTGAACCCGCGGTCCACCAGGCGCCCCTAAAAGGAAGTTCTAATGCCCGTGTCGACTAATGGTCTCCACAAGCGGGTTCATTGGGAATTTCCGTTCTGTGAATCTGCAAGGATACTTGCAGGGGTTCTGTTTTTCAGAGGCTTCTCCTTTTTCCAGTCGTTCCCATATGGAGTCCGTGTCGGGCAGGCTTCTGGCGTCACCTGCTTGGAGCGAGCATTCAGCAGTGACCGCGCCGGAGGCCTTGCCCTCACGGAGCTCACTGTTGTCCTCTCTTGCTTTCAGCTAAAGTAGTGGAGCTCGATCCCTGTCTCTCCAAGAAACCTCTGGAGGAGAAGGCTTCGCATCCGTACAGTGCCCGGGAGAGCCTGTCGGAGGTGCAGTCGCTCAGCAGCTTCCAGTCGGAGTCGTGTGACGACAATGGTGAGTAAGTCGTTCGGAAACGCCGTGGCTGGCAGCGCGGGCTGGTATGTGCAGCCTCGTAGGTGCACCAGGTGCCCCTGTTGAGTCCCCGACTGTGGCCAGGTTCCGCTTGGGACTACTGGTGACCTGGACCTCGCACGGCTTGCATGAACGCCTGCAGGGGACCGTAGTTAAAACCTCCTTCGCGGGGCGGACAGGAGCCGCTTGTCAGAAATGGGGAGGAACACCTGCCTCGCTGAAAGATCTTTCCTGATTGGCTCGCTTCGTATCGGCCTTTTTTCCACGACAGTAAATGTTTTTAGAGGTTTTGTGGGCTGAAAAAAAAAAACAAAAACAAAAACAAAGCACGCTGTTAGCAACTTAATCTTGAGCGCGGCCCCCGCACCCTTCACGCTCGCACCCCCGGGAGGAGCCCGATGGGGTGGTTGGAAACGTTCTGTTCCAGCAGCACCTTTGGGATTACAAGGTTCTATTCATCTCTTCCCCCCGACTCCCCTGCGGCCCAGCTCCCGCTTGGATCAGAGCGCACTGACTGAGAGCACAGTTTAAGAGATTGCTAGTAAGTTTGATTCTATTTCTGATGAAGAAAGTTTGACAGGGGGCTCTTCGGATTTCCCTAGGTGAATTGTGTTACCAGCTTCACCACGGTAACACTTGCCAGTAGAGAAAATTGCCAGTATTCAGTAACAAAATCGTTGTTAGTGGAAATTTTTGAATCTCAGAATTAGTACGTTTGACTAATTTTTTTCCTGCATAAAAACGTAATGTGTTTAAACATTTCAAATACAGGTGGAAAGAAATGACCCCACTAATTATTCTTTGATTGTTTCTAAACCCAGAGGAATAGGGCTCATAACATGTTGTGGAGTCCTTTTGCAGACTAAAGATGGCCATAAGCATCCTCCATTCATTTCTGACTTCTAGCGTGTTCTGTGTGATATCAGGTACAGTGTCTGTTCCTCAGCGACAGCGTGTATGAACCTAGCTTTGCTTATCAAACCAAGGACAACAGGATAGAATTCTTTCCATCATTAGGCTTAATCTTTAAAACGTTAGTGTTGCCAGTTTATGTAGATTATGTTGTTCATAAATACATTTCAGAGTTTTGTCATATTTTGCTAATCCCCTTCCTTGCTTTTAATACCTCCTAAATACTTTTAATAAAGTATGGTCACATTAGCTATGAGTTAATTGCCAGAAAACAGTGTGAGAGCCAGGAGTGTTTGTATTTTAATCCTTAACGTAATTGTAATCATTATCAGTCATAAAGACCGTATTAAGAATCTCTGCTTAAATTCTAAGGCTCTTCTAACACGTTCCCACAAATGTGGTGGCTTAAAACAAGATAAATGTATTCTCTTATCGTTCCATAGTTTAGAAATCCATCACAGGTCAGTAGGCTACCGTCAGGGTGCCTTTACTGGGGGCTCGAGAGGACAGTCTGTTTCCTCACCTTTTCTAGCTCCTAGAGGCCACGTTCTTCTCCCTGGCCATGCTTCTGTAGTCCCAGCTCCCTCAAACTGCAGCCGGGAGAGTTTCTGCCCTTTTAAGGACCTTTGTGGCGAATACAGTGGGCTCATATAGGCCATTCGGGAAAATCTTCCCAAGGTCTTTAATCACACCAGCAAACTCAGGGACGGTAACTCATTCACAGGCTCGTGGATTAGATGGGGACATCTTGGAGGGCCGTCATTGTGTCTACCACACACACACACGTTTATCTTGGCATCCACGCTTTCACACAATCTGATACACAAACGAAAAGGGAATTTACCTAGGAAACAGCCAAGCAGACCGTTTGCATTTCTCTGCTAGTATGTTAGCTCCTCAGCTGTTAGCCTGTCTGCAAAAAGAGATAAGTAATTTGGAGTGGGCGTACACAGAACAGAGTTAAAGCCAGTTTTGTGCTTATATTACACATTTTGTTGTATTACATAATGCTAAATTTTTCTGGGAACGTATGAATTCATTAACAAAACCCAGAAAATTGGCTTAGCAAGTATTTTACTATTTAAATCTGAACGCTTTTGCCCTGAGATGTTCACATAAGGATTGTTTTGTCAATGACTAGATCCCTAAGTCAGAAAACTTAGAGCAACAAAATTGCTTCCATTGTGGTATAATGTGGTTACCTTATTTGATGAATAATACGTAGCCTGGTTAGAAAAATGTCTAAGATCTATCACCACAAGAGCATAGGAGTCGTGCATAATTATGTGTTCTGTTAAAGTATTCACTTCGTGTTTTTACATTAGGAGGTAGAAATTGTGTAATATCAAGGAATCCTATTTAATGCATTGTTTTCTAACTGAAGGTTTTCCTAATTTACTCCTTTTGTACCTTTTTACAAGCTTCCATAGTGACTGTCATACACCTTGTCAACGCTGTAGTTGACACGGTGAATGAAGAAGGTATAGTCACAGTGTGTGTGTTGTGTTTGTGTATAGCGACCGCTACTAGACTAGTGTGCTTTCGCCCATTGTGGTGTCTTAAAAACCATTCGTGGTTTTGAGGGGGTTGGGTATGTGTGTGCAGGTGTGTGTATATGCCCATAAATACTCTTACGTATGTTATGTCTTTGTGACTTTTGGCCCCTCGTGGTGAATCTCTATAGATATCAGAAGTGACCCCTAAATCTTGACAACTTGAATTTTTCTAGATCCTTTTTGCAGGAATACCACTAAGACACAGCTTATATAATTATCTAAAACTGACTCTTCACGTCGGAATTTTCCATGGCAGAAAATAATTATTTGCATGATCTGGTTTAGTGAAAGTTCACCTGAAGCTTTATCTATCTGTTCAAAAGAAAGGGCATTGATCACCACCTAAAATTACGTAAAGTCTGCCCTTTATTAATGCACTGAAGTCTGAGTCATCCCATGTAACTTGCACAAGCTAGTAGTTTTTAAACTGCAGATCAGAGCATCTAGAGGTGATGGTCACCGAGAGGGCTTGTTTAAAAGCCTCATTGTTGGGCCCTGAGAATCCTCCTTTCTAACACATTCTCCATTCATTCTGATGCTACTGTTCTAAGGATCCTACTCTGAGAACTGCAGCAATAGACGATCCAGAGTGCATGAAGCACAGGGGAATCTTCCTGGCTAGGAGATGTTTTCAGGACTGAGCTGAGGATAGTTTTGTGCCAGACGTGATGGGGCAGGCCGGATGGGGGGTTTTGGTGGTACCCGTGAATCATACACACACCTTCCTGACAACAGGTGCTGTGTCTTTACCTGGTGAAGCAGAAAGTAGTGACGGAGTTTTAAAAAGCAGAACCTAAAACAGTTCTTTCATTAGATCTCCTTCATTGAAAAATAGATCTTGGCATATCTAAGAAATGGTATTTGAAGTTGAATGCTAGCTTCAACGTCAAGAATTGAGTACCGGTGGAGTAAACATGTTGTCGGTCTTCTCTTTGAAAAGAAATTGCTACATTTTTAGGAGACTTAAAAAAAAATTCTATAGGTACGCATTGCCTAAAATAGAGCTGATTCGTTTTTTAGTTCATTTCAGCTTTTGATTTAAATTCCTAGAAGAGAGCCATCAGTCACATCCTCTTTGTTCCAAATGATGAAATGGGTTTTCAGGAACAGTGTAGAATGCATAGGAAGCATTGGTTTTGTTTAGAACAGCACCGAAGTGGCCCTGTTTCTACCGTGATTACTACTTTTCAATAATAAGAATCCTGCCAATAGCTAAGAGTTAGGGCTTGACCTACATTCTCCGATCTAATCCTCATAGTGAAGGGATTTCCACTCCCCTTTCAAAGATAAAAACCTGAAGCTTAGCCGGGGTAAGCACCCTGCCCAGGGCCACGTGGCCGTGACTGGGGTGGGATTGACATCTTTCGCTGCCTTCGAGCTTGAGTTTTGGGGGTGGGGACCGGAGTAAGTGCAGCCGGAGGCCTCCCGGGAGAGGTGAACAATGTCAGTGTGTAAGTCCCACTCAGAACAGGCACGATTTGAAGGGAGTTTCTTCTAGTGATTCACGGGCACCTGGGTTTGTGAATTCGTCTGTAGGTAATGTACACGTGAGGGCTGGCAAAGTGTCTCTTCTGTAGTGTTAGATGTGTTTGGATTGGGTCACGGGATCCCTCAGTATCGTGGTGTCCTTGAAGCTCCTTATCGAGTTACACTTGATGAGAGCCTATAGACTTGACTTCTTCCTAACCAAATCGTGTGCCTTCAGGTTCAGATTGCCAGAAAAAATGGAAAAGGAGGTAAACTCATGTTTGAATTTCCTGGCAGAGTTCATCAGTGTCTTCCTCCCCTGCCCTGCCCCGCCCCATTTCATTTGTGCTACGTGCATTTCTCGAGCATTTGGAATTCTCCTAGAGGATGGCTTAAAGGCACGATACATGGCTGACTGGGCCTTGATGAACAGTTTGTATTGTATTGTGTACTTACCTTTATTGCCTTTCAGCCGGCTTTCTGTTTTAATTATGAATGTTTTCTTTTCTCTCTACTCTGCCACCAAAAGAGTCTTTGGCTGCTCCTGACCTCAGCAAATCAAGAGGTGACTGATGCATGCCAGTTGTTCATTGGTACTCACTCAACAAAACTGGTCAAGATCTGACCCCAGGGCCCGCCTCGCTTCACTTGTCTGCTCCGCGGGTGCCGCCCTTACTAAGTACAGGGCTGTTTGTGCGCTTCATTGAAACGTGTACTGCCTTGCCTGCCTGGCAGAGGAGTTCAGTAATCCTCGGGGAGGGGGGCATCCCCCAATGGGGAGGTTTCTGAAAAGAATAATTAACCTTTTAAAGTGATCCTTAGGCCTTGTGAAAGTAACAAAACTGACTGTTGTAATCTATCAAAGATGGGGTTCTGTTTTTCAGCGCTTGATTGCATTTTGCTTGATTTGAAGGCATGCTTTGGTACCTAGATTAACGTAATTCATCGTTTCTCTTAGGGCTGAGCACAGTGCAGTCTCTAATATAAAGTTCGTTATATGATTGTAGAGGAAACTGGTTTTTTAAATTTTACCATGTTTAAAATTACCTTGGCTCTTCTAAAGAGTTGCTTTAGTGTTTTTTGAAGGCCTAAACTTACTTACTGGTGTCCTGAGCCTGAACTAATAGAGCAGTGGGTTCTCTGTGACCAGGAAAGCGGAAGGGCTGACTGGAATCGCGTGTGCAAGAGTGCACGTAACGTAGACACCAGCACACCGCTTCTCTTCAGCCTCGTGTCGCTTCCTTGAACGTTAGGTACTTACAGGAAGCTCTGAGTCCCCATTTTGAAGCAGAGCTTTGGGTCACTGGGTAGCAGGGAGGCCCTCAAAGCAAAGATACTGCCTTTGCACGCTGAAAAAGAGCTCAGTGTAACCGACGCTGGGGGAGAAAAGACACTGAAATCTGTTTTCTTGTCTACCAAGGGTATCACTGGGATACGTCGGATTGGATGCCGAGTGTTCCTCTGCCGGATATACAAGAATTCCCCAATTATGAGGTTATCGACGAGCAGACCCCCCTGTACTCGGCAGATCCGAATGCCATCGATACGGACTATTACCCTGGAGGTTACGACATTGAGAGTGACTTTCCCCCTCCCCCGGAAGACTTCCCGGTGCCAGACGAACTGCCCCCCTTACCTCCGGAGTTCAGCGATCAGTTCGAATCCATACACCCTCCGAGAGACATGCCCGCTGCTGGTAGTCTGGGTTCTTCATCGAGAAGCCGGCAGAGGTTCCACTTGAATCAGTATCTGCCCCACTTCTACCCCGTCGATCTGTCTGAACCTCAAAAGACAGGCACTGGTGACAACGGTCCGTGTAGAGAACCCTATGCCCCCTGCCCTCCAGGGTACCCAAGAAACTTTGAAGCCCCCACCGTAGAGAACATGCCCCTGTCTGTGTACCCCTCCACGGCTTCCTGCTCTGATGTGTCGGCGTGCTGTGAAGTGGAGTCTGAGGTCATGATGAGTGACTATGAGAGCGGAGACGACGGCCACTTCGAAGAGGTGACAGTGCCTCCGCTGGATGCGCAGCAACACACGCAGGTCTGACGCCCCGACTCCCCCCAAAGTGCCTGGACTTGAACGAGCCCGAGATCGTTCCGTAAACGATCTTCTGCCTCGTTCTCTGCAGAAGTGCTTAAGCGCTTTTTTTTTTTTTGGCGAGCTGGGGTGGGCGTGGCGGCCATTCCCAGCGTCCCAACCTACTGTAATTGGGTGACAGGTCCATTTCTGAACATCTTTTTTGCATTTTACATCCGTCTGTTTAAAATAATGAAACGAAAATCAGTCCTTTCATCTTGTTAGCATGATTCATGTATTTATAGAAATTTGATTATTTTAATTTCCCTTTTTTTTGTAAATGTTTTGTACAGATTTGATTTTTCATAGTTTTAACTAGATTTTCAAGACCTTTTGTGCATTTGTTTTTGACCGAATTTTGGTGGTGTTAGTGTCATTCCCTAGCACCCTGATTTTTCAGTGTAACCAGGGTTTCATTATATGTCCTTTTCCATTGAGGTATGACATTTCATGAAGACATTTCAGTATAGTCCTTCGTTTCTAGCTGTACATAGGATGAGGAAAGATTGTATACAAGAACATGTCTTAAATGGGTGACTGTATTTTAGAACTATAAACATTTTTCATTATTGGAAAGTGTAACGGGGACCTTCCGCATACCTGTTTAGAACCAAAACCATCATGACACAGTTTTTATAGTGTCTGTATATTTGTGATGCGATGGTCTTGTAAAGGTTTTTACTGAAAACTACCATTAGCCAGTCTTTCTTACTGACAATAAATTATTAATAAAATATTTGAGCTTTACTGCCTGTTTTTCCTATTTATGCTTTTGTTTGGGAGTCAGTTAACGAACTGACAGGGACGGACGGATGGATGAAAAGACAAAACCACATTGGCTTTTGGTGGCCCTGACTGTGGAAGGTTCCACCCTGCCCAACCAGGCTGTACCTACAGATGTAGCCGCTAGGTGGCAGTACATGGCTACTTGAGCCCGCTCAGAAATCCAGGTGTGACGAAAACCACACCCTTTTTACGTATTTGCCAACTACAAGAAAGATTTCCTTTCTGCATTTCTTTCACTAGTTAATGGTTATAATTTAAATGCTTCTATCGTCTTCACCTAGGACATCTATCAGAAACAATCTTCCATGTGTATTTTATAACAGCGAAATCCATCCATCCAGCAAATACCGTGTGCCAACCACTGTGATATGAACGACAAAGAATCAAGCTTTCTTAGAACTTTAGAAAGATACTTTTTCCCTTTAAGTAAATGCCTCATTTTATCAAATGATACATATATATGTATATGTATAAACAAGAGCTAAAATAGGTATAATTGAACAAACAGCAAACTCAAACCCTCTGCTGTAACCACTTACAATCCCCAGCTGTTTTTCTCATTTTCCTGGTCATGTGTTAGGGTCTGTATATTGTTCCGAGAGTCACTAGTATTTTTTAGGAATCGCTTATTGAGTGTGATGTTTGCGTAAGGCCATGTAACCTAAACAACCCCCACTGCGTTACACCATAATTTTTGGATTAATCCACGAACACGCTTTTCATTGTTTTGGCGATGTCAATATTCACTGCTGAGCCAAGCGGTCTAGGAGGTTCATTTCCATTTATTTTGCTACTTTTTCTGAAACAGGTGCCTTCATTTTTTTTTACTTTGTAAAATTTGTGACTATTTCATGAATTTACCCAAAACACATTTCTTTTGGTCACCTACCATAGGTTATTCTACACGAACAGACAAAAATTCCCTACCTTGTCTTTTCCCTGTCATGGCGCATGCAGAAGCTGGTCCCACTTTTAGGGTATAGACAGCATGAGGGAGGAGGCTGCTTGAACCCAGAGGGGCCGGCCGCCTGAGGTGATGCCCAGGTGATGCGTGGGCTCCTCCCAGCCGCCCGGAGGGCTCACAAGGTCAACGTCTGGGAGCTTTGGGAGAGAGAACTCTGGGTAATCCTGCTCGCTCTCCTCTTCCTGTGAATTTGTTGCTGTGGAAAATAAACGTCTAGTCAAGAACCGGATCTTCGTAAAATCGGCTTTCATTTCGATTCGATTTTCAGTGACCTCCTATAAAGGTAACTGTGAGGTTTGTGGGCGGCCAGACCCGGAAAACTCCCCCAATGCCCCGTTCGCTGCCTCCGGTCTTTCCCACCCTCGCCCAGCCCACTGGATCCGTTCAGTAACTTTCTCGAGGTCAATGTGGGCCGTTCCCTTGCAGACCAGCATTCAGTGTACTTTCTGATTGCTCCTCCTCAGAGGCATTAGGTTCCATTGCAGTTAGCGGGCCGGCTGAGACAGAGTTGTTTGTCGGAATTTAATTTCCTCACTAGCAGTTTACTGCCTCCACTGCAAATGGGATGAGCCACTTGAAAAGAATGACAAGTATTTTGTTTCCCAAGAAAACCTGTCTGTGTGAGCACTTAGGCAACGAATGCACTTGTCCCCGTGCTATACGAAAGCGTGACCCTGGAAGAAGCTACGTTCTCAAATGATGCTAGACAGAAAACGTGTAATATTTGGACCAAATAGATCTTAGAGCTACGAGTGCAGGGTCTCTAGGAGGGAGGACACATAGGAACTCAGTGATTCTGAACCAGAGCTGTTCTAACCGAGGGCTGATGGGGGGGGTGGGTGATGGGTATTGAAGAGGGCATCTTTGGGGATGAGCACCGGGTGTTGTATGGAAATCAATCTGACAGTAAGTTTCATATATTAAAATAAAAAAATACATCCTATACAATTAAAATAAAAAAATAAACCAGAGCTGTTAGCCAGTTGCCTCAGGGGTAAAAAGAAATTCTCAGGGCACCTGGGTGATTCAGTCCTTTAGCCTCTGACTCTTGATTTCAGCTCAGGTTGTGAGAGCGAGCCCCGTCGGGCTTCGAGCTAGGCATGGAGCCTGCTTAAGATTCTCTTTCTCTCTCTCCCCCCGACCCCCCATCTCTCTGCCTTCTCTCTCTCAAAAATAAATTCTCCAAATGTCTAATGATGATTGCTTCAGTTCATTTCACTATTCAAAACCTAACAGTTTTCGGATAAGGGGACGGTACGGGAAGAGGCACAAATCATCCACCCAGAGGGAGGGTCAACCTCCTCGTGCCTGTTAGGGCACAGCTCCACTTTCTTGCCAACTTGGGAATATTAGCCCACCTGCAAGTGAGGACTGCAAAGGCTTTTCAGAGATGCTCTTGTGACTTACGTTTTTAAATATTTACTTCAAATGAGTATTTTCCTCTGCTTTCAAGGGTAATTCTACTTTAAATAGATGCTTTAAGTTAGGGTGGAACAAAATAAAATTTCGTGCGTAATTTCAATTAAGCCAAATGTTTCCAATGCACAAAGGTTGAGGGCACCTGGGTGGCTCAGTTGGTGAAAGCATCCGATTCTTGGTCTTGGCTCAGGTCCTGGTTTCACAGTTCGTGGGATCGAGGCCCCTGTCAGGCTCTTCACCGACAGCACTGAGCCTGCTTGGGATTCTGTCCCTCTCTGCCCCTTCCCCACTCACGCTCTCTGGGTCTCTCTCGAACTTGTTTAAAAAACGCACAAAGTTTCTCCAACTAAAAAGCTCCTACCGGATTGAAATTGTTTTTAAGAATCATCTAAAAGGTTGCGTTTTTACTTCTAATGGGGAACTTCACAAATTTGAAAAATACCCTCAGGTCAGTGAAAACCATGGTCTTACCTTTAATTTCTGGGCCATAGTTTCCAGTCACGCCCAGGTTCTGGAGATGGCCTCGCGGCTAGGTTGGTTCTCTACTAGATTAACGACAGCAACGAACACTGGGGTCAGCGAGCCGCGCTTTGTCGTGTGACGTTTGGCTCCGTAATCCTTGGCAACCATCACGTTTGGGAGCGTCTCTTACCGGTGCCGTTGATGTCAGAGAAACAGACATTTGTCCATGACGACAAAGCGGGCAAGCGGTAAAGACCCATTTGACCTTGGGGGGGGTCTGACACCAGAGTTTATCCTCGTCACCAAGACCGCTGGCCGCCACACCCGGCAGATGCCTGGCTTCCTCAGGTGGGGCCTCCGTGACTGCACTGGCCGATAGTCCCCACCCCTGCCTAGAGAGCTGTGTGACCTTCAGGTGGAGTTGAACTCCGCTGACCGGAGGGCTCTTTTTTAAAGCCATGGGCCCTCAGGGTACACTTGTAAATTCCCGTGCCTTCAGGCATCAGTGGGAGGTGGAGACTGCTGGCTTTTGACCCACAGACCTCAGGCGGAAAGCGTTCCCTGTCACTTACTAGCTGTATGACCTTAACCAACTGCTTAACTGAAAAGGAGGTGTGGCTAATAAGTACCCCCCAGGAATTACGTGGAATGCACAGTAACTGTCTGGACGAGTGTTCGTAGGAGAGCTCATTCCATGCCAAACATTCTGCAATGGGTAACTCCTCGAATCCGTCCAGGGACACCCCCCCCCCCCCTTATTATCGCCCCACTTTCCAGATCAGGAAACCCAGGCGTAACCTACCTTTCCGAATGTCACGCCAAAGGTCAGGGTTGAGACTGAAATTCAAAGCCCTGACTCTGGTCTCCAAGCTGCTTCCCACAGACCTCCTTTCTGAACAGTGTGTCTGAGACGAACCAAATGGCAGACGGCAAAGCTCGGAACAAAGACGTTCACCAAATGCTTTCATCGCCGTTACTGTTTCCTCCCTCGCCGCCATCCCCGTTTTCAAATTGGCATTTAATAGATGCCTTTTAAAACGTATCGTAGGCAAGTTTTCATTTTCTTGGTGCCTTCACAGAACACGCTACGATTCCAAGAAGCTTCCTGATCAGGTTGTCGTCACTGGACCAACCTCCTCCAATCCAGGGCAGCTTTGGTCTTCGGATCTTGGTTGTTTTTGCTAAATGCGTTCCACACGGGAGGATGTGTGACGTGGGTGCAGCCGAGTCACAAGGTGCCGCTTCTGCTGTTCCTTTACCCAAAAGTTGTTTCTGAGAATCCACTCCAGTCCGCCAATGCCAGAAGCATCAGGTTTGGATGATGAACAAGATCAAGTCCTCCCCCCCCCCCGCCCCGTCTTAGGAATGAGAGGAGAATGTTCAGAGTCAAGTTTACAGCTTCCTGTGTCTTGTTTTCCCATTTGCTGCATGTAACAAAAATATTGCATTCACCTGGGGTCCAAATAGTAGTGCTTCCGGGGTCGGGTGCGTCTCTTCACTCACCGCCCCTCGTCTCCATTCATCCGTCTGTCCATCCAGCCTTTCACTCATTCCTTCGTTCGTTCGTTCATTCACTCGGTTCAATTGGTTTTCTCAGTTGCATTAATATTCGTTCAGTCCACCCTTTGCTGGCCCCTGGGCTCATAAAAGTGAGCAGAACTTGCTTGTGAGCAATCATGTGACCTTTGGGAAAAAAACTTCCAGTGTGGTCGAGGCTCGTGTGCCAATGCAGCAACGTATTATTTAATAAAAACTGAACTATGAGGTGCTGCGCTCTTTGTCCCAGCTCCGAAAATGCTCTAGAACAGGTCAGTGGCTGAAAGAAGAGTTACACGGCGTGGGGTCACGGGAAAGCAAAATCAGAAACGCTTCCTAGTTACTTACGAGTTCTCTGCACGTTAACTCGAAACTCCAGAGGCGTGATCTCTGTCCTGTTCGTCTGTAGAACCTCAACAGTGACAGTAACTGGGGGCCCAGGGGATCGGTTGTCGGTCATGAGCAGTGAAGGACGTCGCAGCCAACACGGCTTCTCCCCGGCGGGTCGCTGATGCGCCAGTGCCTGGCGACAGGAACCGTGAGCGGCTCGGCGGCCGGAGCCGGGTGGATGCGCCCAGAC